TGAACCAATTAAGAGAATTTACAATGGAGTATTAAGGCCAATTTGAGCAACAAACAGTTCTGAATTGTAAATACTGAAGATGATTCAAGAATATACTTACTGAAGCAGTGCATAAGACCCAGTATAATTTTCCACAATGCTAATTGAGCCAAGGGCACATGTGATTTAATAGCCTAAAGCAATCAAAGAGCAGAACAAGTAGGAATAACTCTTTCATTACTAGCATAACTTAGCAAATCAATAAATAACCCTGTTGGCTCCCACTAATATGATAAATATTAATAAGTAGTTAATATTTCCAATATCTCAGTTCTTGTGCTTGCTGCTGCAGTCAAAGACATAAGACGTTCCTATATGTGCAGAACACATTTATGAACAAGTTTTATTGAAGCTACTTGAAAGGCTTGAAGATCAGTGGGTTGCAAAGGAAGAACATGTCTAATTTTTATTATATACAACATGTAGCAATACTTTCTGAAATAAAAGTATATCTGTAAGAGGGAACTTGATTCATCTGGCTATCAAGCAGCAGCATTAAAAAAAAAGGCTATAAAACGAGATAGTATTGAAGAAAACTGGATATTGATTTTGAAAAGCTTTTAAATCATTTGGTAATTACAGTACTGTGCAAAAGTTTTAGGCAGGTGTGAAAAATGCTGTAAAGTGAGAATGCTTTCAAAAATATATATTGTAATTGTTTATCAGTTTACAAAATGCAAAGTGAGCGAACAGAAGAAAAGCCCAAATCAAATCAATATTTGGTGTGACCACCCTTCGCCTTCAAAACAGCACCAATTCTTCTAGGTACACTTGCACACAGTTTTTACACTTGCACACAGTTTTTGAAGGAACTCGGCAGGCAGGTTGTTCCAAACATCTTGGAGAACTAACCACAGATCTGTGGATGTAGGCTGCCTCAAAACACTTGCACACAGTTTTTGAAGGAACTCGGCAGGCAGGTTGTTCCAAACATCTTGGAGAACTAACCACAGATCTGTGGATGTAGGCTGCCTCAAATCCTTCTGTCTCTTTATGTAATCCCAGACAGACTCGATGATGTTGAGATCAGGGCTCTGTGCGGGCCAAACTATCACTTCCAGGACGCTTTGTTCTTGATGCTAAAGATAGTTCTTAATGACATTGGCTATATGTTTGGGGTCATCCTGCTGCAGAATAAATTTGCGGCCAATCACACACTTCCCTGATGGTATGGTATGTTGGATAAGTATCTGCCTATATTTCTCAGCATTGAGGACACCATTGATCCTGACCAAATCTCCAACTCCATTTGCAGAAATGCAGCCCGAAACTTGCAAGGAATCTCCACCAGGCTTCACTGTTGCCTGCAGACACTCCTTATTGTACCCCTATCCAGCCCTTCAGCAAACAAGCTGCCTCCTGCTACAGCCAAATATTTCAAATTGCTGCCATTTTTCTGCGCCCCAGTTTCTATGTTTTCGTGCATAGTTGAGTCACTTAGCCTTGTTTCCACGTCGGAAGTATGGCTTTTTGGCCACAATTCTTCCATGAAGACCACTTCTGGCCAGACTTCTCCGGACAGTAGATGGGCATACCCGGGCCCCACTTGTTTCCTCCAGTTCTGTGCTGATGGTACTGCTGGACATCTTCCAGTGTTGAAGGGAAG